ATTTTTATGAGTAATTATAGTTTTTAAATGATTTTTCTAGCCTTGGAGAGTTTTTGGAAAATTAAGAATATATAATGGACGTGGGACCCACTAGTGCGAAAAGTTCGGAAAAATTCGGCCAATAAGGTTAAGTTTCGGATACTGTGTAAAATGTATCGGGTGTTAAAAGATAAGTAGAGGATGTGAAGTGATTGATGTGAGAGGAAAAGAAGAGATAGGAATGTATTTATGGAAGTGACAAGTGTCACATAGCCATTGGTTGGACTTGGTGAACACTATTCATGCTTTTTGACTTTTGACCACATTGAGTAAATATCTTCAAAAATCACCAAAATTCACCATTTTCTTCTCCTTGGTGGCCGGCTCTCCTAAGCTCAAGAAGGAAGGAAAACTCTTCAAGTTTTAGCTACAATTAGTGCAAATCACCCAAAATATTTGCTTGATTGTGTTTCTACTCCATAAAATCCTTCCACTTGGTGCTGTTCTGGGTTGATCAGGATGGCAGAACTGCACTTGTATTTGGCTATTTTGACTGGAATTGCTTTGGATTTGGATGTTGGTGTCTTCTGATGAAATGTAGCTGGATGTCTTAGCTACCATATGCCTTTGAATCAATGCATTTGGACCTGTATAGACTGAGTTGTACGAATTACAGCATAGTGTGATTTGTAAACCTGCAATTACGGTTCTGGTTTGGTATTCTGCATTTTTGACCTAGTTGTGCTAGGATTTGGACTGAGTGGCCTTCTACATTGTTGTAGCCCTGTCTTTTATCTTCGAGATGGTGGGTTTTACACCCTCATCCGATAAGCGTAGCGCATTTTGTGCCATTACCGCATTAGGAGGTCAAACTATTTTTGTTGTTGGGTCAAATGAGTTAATTTCCTGATTTTCTGGTTTGCTATAATGCTGGTATATGTTTGCAAAACCCTATTGGGGTTGTGATTGGCATTGTTTTATGACTCGTTATCGAGTCTCATTGTATTTGCTTACGTGTTCTAGGGCGTGACGGTGGTTCACGACATTCTCTCCTGACGGAAGTGCATGAAATAACACTTAATTGATTGGTGAGTATACTACTCACTTAAATGTTACAATGTGGCTTTGATATATGTAAATTTGATGCCTTGACGGTAATATGGCTATTGAAAATGATTGAGGTGAGGGTGTACTTGACGCCCTCACCCCTTGTGATTCCATTCATGACTGTTACCGTTTTACTGAAATACTGCACTTGCTATATGAGATATTGAATTCCATTATGGAAAACTGATTTGGTGTCGTTTGGACGAATGTCCAATGGCCAACGGCCTATTATATTACTGAGCTCAACCCGTAGGTAGTCAATTGAATCGAGCCGGCGAGGGATTGGTCATGAAAATTGACATGCCACGGGGACTGTACTGGGGAATCTTGTAGTAATGAGACTCTTGATTCCGGTAAATTCGAGTATTACCAAAAGCTACTGATTGGAGTGCGGGCCCTGTTGGGGTATGTTTGGTGGAAGGGATGGGAGTGAAGTGGGTTCTACGGTTGGTACTCTCAACATTGACGAAGGGTCAATGAGGTTGGATCAAGAATGTAAGCGTGGAAATGGGCTCTTGAGAGCCGTCCGTATCCTTTTACCGACTTGTTTTACTTCTTAATTGTGTACTTGAAATGAAAGATTTTGCTTATGTGATCTTTGTTGCTTATGTGGTAGTAACTCACTGGGTTTAAGCTCATTCCATTCCATTTGTTTTCCTTACAGGAAAATGACCACTTTTGAAAAGGTTATACTTGTTGGTAGTCAAGATGAGCTCATGTAAATGTATCTTTTGGATAGCTCTTCGAATGAAACCCTAATGTGTATTGGGTTCACTTTCTTTTGATTGGCAAACCGAACATGTATATTCGTAATGAATGGTTTTTGATATGCCGCTTTGGCTTGAAAATGTTACTTTTCAATGTGTGTATGTTTGGTTGATATTTGGTTGAATTTCGGATCAACTCGTATTTCAAACGGCAAAAGAAAAATTTTGGCTACTCTCGGCCTAGTATCTGGATTCTGACGTGGCCGGTACTGTTCATCATTGGCTTCGATTTTCATTTTTTTATTTGTGATTTTGATTTGTTTACGCGCGTGGGTATTTCGGAACGTATTAGATCGACGTGAACTAATCCGTAGTCCTGGCGAGAACTGGGCAGGCAGTCCGCTAACCCCTTTGGTTCGCCTTAGGGGAAAGTGGGGCTGTTACAAGCCATAACTCTCTTGGATTCTGAGGATGACAGTGGACCAAAATAATATCAAATAATTGTCGCAAAGATGCTGGCATTTGATAGAAAATAGCCTCATCCATACATGTGTCAGCATTATTATTAACACTGAGAAGGCCTAATTTTTCAGCGACTTCCTTGAAAGTAGCATATACTCGTCCATTTATAGTTCGAAGATTTTTGAAGGAAGTTGGCTTCCGAATATGCATCAATAACATCTGAGGTACTACTGATCACCTTCACTGGGATGAACAGTTAAAATCATTCCGACAACTTCACATTTTTTTCGTGGCTGCCATATTCTATACTTTTGAGACCATACAAAATATTGGGGGAATTCAACATAAAGGCAACCGAGTTTTTTTACAAGATTATCTGTTCTGTTCATCTCAAAGAAGTGAGTAAGCATTATTTGGCCTATAGTTGGATTGTTTACTACACTGTTCAGGGATTGGTTTTCAGGAAATGATATAGGTTGAAAGTTTTCTAAATGTACCTGAAGTTTCATGACCAAAGGAATAACTTATTCAGATCGAAGACAAAAATTCTCCACATAGCTTCCGGTGGTGAAACCCATCGTGCTGCTTGATAATTGCTAATTTCATCAATAATTTGGCTTCTTTCTATTGAACTCAACTGATACATAATCTTATCGTGTCCTTTGTATATATATTTAACTGCCTGAATCATTGAGCAAATTTCCATATTGATATGACAATTAAATTTGGCCAAAAGATATGGATTATAAGGTACCACCCATCGGTTGTCCAGTTGATGACCTCTGATGAACACTTTTCTACCATTATTATTTCGACGATAGATAGGATAAGAATTTTGTCCATGAATTGTCAATTCAGTGAAATCCTTTGGATATCGATCTTTACAGCCAATGTGTTCTCGCATACAAGGACATTGAGGATTCATTATACCACATGGACCATGAAGCATATGCTTGACAACTAAACTGTATAAATGCTTTTATTGTTAAGGATCAGGTAACTCAGCAAATACGATCCGATCATAAGCATCGGGAGAATATACTTTGATCCTTGTTTCAAAATGATGAGAAAGTGTGCATGTGGTAATCCCCTTTTTTGAAACTCGATAACATAAGTGTATGCAGCAACTTTACCAAAGATTTGTTTCTTGATGACTTCGTGTTTCAATAACTCAAGTTTGGCTCGAAAAATTCTTGAAACTAAATTAGGTCTATTATCAATCGTATCAGTCGACCCCAACTCATTTCTAATTTCTGGCCAATTTTGATTACATGTCATAGTGAGAAAAATATCTGGTTTCCATACCTTTGAACCAATGTCATTGCATCCATATATCGACGGCGCATGTCTCGAGGACCGCCAATAAATGAAGCTGGAAGGATGATTCTTTTTCCAACATTTGATGAAGATGCCTCACCTCAAGAAAGACTATCAAGTAACCCTTGATATAATTCTGTCCGAAATTTGTGTTGATACTCCTCATTTCTATGAAAAGCAAGTCTAGATGATTCAATCTTTATGTACATGTTGACCACAAATTGTTGTAATAATCGGCCGATATGAACTAACATTGACTTATCACTTGGTTGTATTTGAAGTTTATAACAATAATACTCTCTACAAGAAACAGTGGTTCTTTTGTGGTTATTCGAATTAGTACCTGCATTTTTCAAGTGAGATGTTCAGGATAAAGAATATAAATTTATGTCTAGATAAAATAATTCATTATACATTTAAAATATATATATAATAAATAATACTGAGTTACCTTGTTTTTCAGCTTCAAATAACTGATCAGGACTTGTATATTGATAGGGGTCCAATAAATGTTCTCCAGCACAAGTTGTTGGTTGATGAGGATTCATTCGATCAATATGTACTCGTTCAATAGAAGGATGCCATCCAGGTTCACCATTGGCGAAGATTAATGGATATTGGAGTGAATCATAACAAGCATAATAATGCTTGATAATTTGTGTTTCACCATTTTTTCCATATACTTGGATATGATGCAAGGTAATCTAATCAGAAATTTCAGATTCTGTCCATACAACTCCGACTTGAGATGTTGTAGGTCAATTGAACACTCGTTGATCCAAATCTGGATTTGAGTTAAGAACATTCTTATAATCATCTATATTGGGAAGATTTTGTAAACCACGGAAAAATGCAAAGTATGGATTCAATTTCAAGATCTCTTCGATCTTCGTAATCAAGCTTTGTCGAAATCTGCTTGAGATAGATAATCATCTATATTGGGAAGATTTTGTAAACCACGGAAAAATGCAAAGTATGGATTCAATTTCAAGATCTCTTCGATCTTCGTAATCAAGCTTTGTCGAAATCTGCTTGAGATAGATAATCGATTGACTGTCTCATGATCAGTGACAAAAAAGTATAATTGTAAGTTTTTTGCTTTCTGGCCTTCTGGTGGTACCAATGGATTGATATAATGGTACATTTGCCCTTGAACTCTAAATGTATAAATTCCATGATAATCTTTACTTAATGATTGATCACAGTGCATGCTAAGTTTTCAATTATTAACAAATGAAACTACAAAGTTACAAGCGATTGTAATGGCAAAGAAAATATAAACAATACTTCACACAAAGATTTGAGTAAATAAATTTCCTTTTACTTGAAATTAGATATGCAAGAAATTATACAAGAAGATGCACTGGATATTATAAAATGACATGTAAATAACCAAACAGATAATTGCTAGTTCAGGAGAGAAAAAAGTAAGTGTACCTTGGAAACAACTGCGGACATGAGATACTGATTCATCATTGAAAGGCATGTGATTGTTGTTTCAAATTTTGCATTAGTTCTAATGTCTTTTTGTAGTTCAGGTGTGATCAAAGGAAAAGTAAAAATATTATCAACTGAGGATTTTTGCTTTGTTTTCTTCGCTATAGCATAACGTTCACGACGACGACGATTTCGTTCCCTTTGAGCGTCCTCAGGTGTCGCGTACTTTCTTCGTTGTTGACCATCGAATGAGACTTCACATCATTATTCTTAGATGAAGAACTATTGATTGAACTGGAAGTCTTAGGCGATGGAGCAGCCTTTTTAGTCGATAATGTATTACAATCACTTGTATTGTCCTTTGGCACTGTACATAATTTTACATTAGTAATTATATAAGTATATATTATATAATCAAAAGATAATTTTACAATGATAAAACAAAGCTAAGTTTTGAATTGGAATAGGAGAATTACCTATTGGAATGCTGTTAACATTAGCAATGCTTTTTCCATGGATATTAACAGGAGTCAACGCTTCATCGCTTTGAATAGTTGGAGAACCAAGAGAACCATATTTATTCATAAGAGGTGAAGAGGACAATGGATTCTCAATTGTATCATCTGTGCTCATATTCGTAAAAGAAGTGCCATCATTATGTTTATCGACACGCATACGCTTCATAGAGGAAGCACTCGTCTCGACTGTACTCATATTCGTAAAAGAGGTGCCATCATTATGTTTATCGATACACATACGCTTCATAGAGGAAGTACTCGTCTCGGCTAAATTATCCATCATTCGCAATGCTTTAACAGCAATAGTGCAAGTTGTATTAAATGGACCATTCGCCTTTTGTTTCTTAGTTGCAGCATATCGTTCACAACGACGACGATTTTTTTCACTGTAAAGTTCCTCAAGCGTAGCATATTTTCTCCTTCGACCCATTTTCAGTGATACTTATATACTATAGTTCAAGTAACGAGGACAAAAGAAAAATAATTTTCATGCCAATAAAACAGGGGAGAAAAATCAACAGATTTTATGCAAGTAAAATACAGCACAATGTAGTTGAATGAATAAGAAGCAAACAAGATTAACTTTCATGCAAAACCAAAAAGAAAGAATTGTATACAGGTAAAGAGAACGCAGACAGATGGAAAGAAACTTACATGATATTAGAAGATGCAGAGCAAGGAAAAACGTTTACAGGACTCCAAACAAATACCTGCAATTAAACATGCACTAATTTCAGCTATGCATAGTATAGGATAATATATCATACACGAATTAACAATTGTCAATCAAACAAATACGTGATATGCATAAAAAGTAAGCAACGAACTACAAAGTATGAAGATAAATACATTACCAAATCAATAAAAAAAAAAACAATGATAATGGGTCTCATATTAAGCAACTACCTAGCTGCCTCCAAAACGCAAGACCTCTGGAACAACTAAATCACAGGTGAAATAAAACTTGAGCTGACACTCGTCGGAAAGAAGAAAAACTAATAAACTTCAATTCTTAACATGCAGATAAATACCAGTGAATTGTAAGCAAGAAAGAATAACAATCGCGACTAACCAAAGGATTGAACAAAGCCAAAATCGGAGAAGCATCAAAGCTTACCCGTTGTTGGGAACAAAGAACCAGAGGAACTTGCAAGTCAAAGCCTAGCCGTTGTTGTTCGGAACAATGAATGAGAGGGACTTGTAATTACAAAGGCAAAAGCAACCCATTATCTCTTGCAATGTAAAACAAGCAAAGGACACCTGGCCAAATGTTTTCCCGAGGGTAAAATTAATGTCCACTAACCGCTTAAAAAAAAAGCCACCGCTTCCCAGGGTAAAATTAATGTTGACTAACCCTTCAAAAAAAGCCACTGCTTCAAATCATGTATCAGGGAATTCAAAAAAGCCAAGTTTCCAAATCACCCCTAATAAACAAAATTAACAAAGAAACCGAACAAAGTCTTTACCCTTCACAAATCTCATATTTACAATTAAACCTGCCCAAAAAGTACTGTTCACAACAGGCATTGGCGCTTTACATATAGTTATGATATGATATGATATGATATGATATGATATATAATTAAGCACTAGCAACTACTTAAAATGGGCCCGTTGGCTCCCTTCAATTATAAGGGCAAATTTGTTCTCAAATTTTAAGAATAAAATTTGGGGTCAGACAATTTAAGTCAGTTAAAAAGACAAACAGAAATTGCAGTTCAAGGGTTATTTTATCTATTTCATGGTCAAAGGCGTGAACTGAAACCAATCTCTAATTACAGGTGTCATATGTACTTAAGCCTATATAATATAATTAATATACAAAACTGAATATCTATCCAATTCAATACTTTTGGCTGCTTAAGCCTGTAAGTTAAATGTATTTATTTCATTTATGCATGGGAATTATGACAAGCATACCAAGGATAGCATTCATTTATTTACAAAACTCATAATACTTTAAGATTGTTCAACAAAATTTTTTTTGTGGACATACCAAAAAGAAAATGTCACCATGAAAAGATATGGAAAGAGTAGATGATTACATTAAGCGTCAACACTTTTAGGTAGATTTGGTCTTGTAAATTTGGCATATTAAGTTGTTGCACTGTTCATATTATTGTTTGTATCTTCTAGAAATATACAAACATTTACAATATGTCGGTTCACGAGTTGTCATATAACAAGAAATTTTACCAAACATCGGGAAAAAAAATCTAGTATGATACACGAGAGGAAGCCTTTCTTAGTTGCTAAACGCAGTTGGGGAAACATGGGCTGTCAAACCCGAAATGAATTTTTATTAATTTTAATATAGTCATTTTTACTTGCATTAACGATCATTGTTTGTTGAATATTAAAAGATGGGGTTAATTCTACTTTGTCCCCCAAACTTTGGATGATTACCCACTTTTGTCCCTAACTTCAAAATGGGACACTTAAGTCCCTAAACTTATAAATACCTCCCAATTAAGAAAAATTGTGAACAGAATCCTGAATGCCGTGGTGGTTGAAGTATCACATTTTATAAGATTTTAGGGATTTAAGTGTCCCATTTTATAAGTTTAGGGACTTAAGTGTCCAAATTTATAAGTTTTAGGGACTTAAGTGTCATATTTTGAAGTTTAGGCACTAAAGTGGGTAATCATTCAAAGTTTGGGGGGACAAAGTGAAATTAACCCTAAAGATGTGCCTACTAGTAAAGGTAAGTTTGTTAACAAGTGCCTATTCATGAAGGGTACGTATTTTAAACTGTAAACACACATTAATTCATTAAACAATGTATCTGAATACCATTAAAGTATCAAAAATGAGTTAAACGCTTTTCACTCTTCTTCACTTCTAGTCAAAATGAAATTCTCTAAAGAAAAAGTTAAATTCTACATTTGTATTCTGTAGCTTATAATTTTTTGAATACTAGGAACAAACGTTAGATGTCTCAAACAAGTCAAGTGGACTTCAGGATAAAAGGTTGTTAGATAAGAAAATATTAGGTGGCAAATGTACAAAATTAAGTTAGATGATTTGTAATTTTTCATAGAGAAAATATTAGGAAGCTTACATCAACAAAAAAAAATTAAGTAAAATACTAATAACCCCCATAGTTCTATGTAAAATGAACACTAACGAAAAGTAAGACAGTGGGACGAAAGGAAAAAACGAATATAAACTCTGGTCACTAGGCTACTAAAAGTTTGAATTAATCATTAGGAAAGATCGTCAATTTCTTACCTAACTTTTTCACTAATACCAATTTCATCCTTGAATGCTTTTTAACCTAGCATTAATCCCTAAACTAAAATCTTCCTGCCAATTAAGGACCTCTAGGTTGGCACCACACCAAACTTTTTTTTTTCAGCCAAACAATAACCACTCAGTGGCATTTTAGAAAATTCAGCTTACACTTGTGTTGGACCAACGTCATCATCGCCCGCCATTGATCACTGAAGTCTGGAGACTAGCAAAGCTAATTGATTCCTCGACTAGTACTCTTTTTACTTTCAGCGAAGGAAATAGAATCCGGTATTGCTTCCAAATCTATTAGCTTCGCAACAACACTGGAGGCTATGCCTGAGTTCTTGATTTTTGCTTCCAAACCATTGTTTTCATGTTTTTGTGTCCATTAAGCACCTCTAGCATTTCCAGGAGATCTGTTGAAGATAGTACTAGACTCTTTCTCAAAGTACTCCTGTAAATTGTTCAATGCGATTAGATTTCATATATTCTTTGATATCGAAAATTCTAATAATTAGGAAACAAAAGGAAAAGATGAGTATTGGGATAAACTAATTGTTCCCAGATGCTGGAGCTAGGACTTTTTTCTCAGGGGGGGCAAAATTTTTTTAAAAAAATTATCTTAATATGTTATGTTCAAAATAATTTTCATCTATGTAAATATATAACACCTATAAGTATCAAATATTAGTTTTAATTATAAATGTATGTCTATTTAATAAATATTAGCATAGTCATAACAAAATTTAAGACAAAAAATAACCTTTGATTAAATATTTTATAACATCACAAACCACCCAAGTTGCACGTTATGAGAAGATACTCCAACATATCACCTATGCAAAATATATATATTATATATAACTATGCAATATAAATATACCTATTTTCAATTAAAAATGTTGTATAAAAATGTTTTCAATATATGACTATTTTCAATGTGTGTGTGTGTGTGTGTGTATATATATATATATATATATAAGTTATGTTAACAAATCTTGAACTTTCAACCTTTTTTCTTAAAAGTAACTTTCACAGAACTAAAATCATCTATGATTGAATTAGTGCTAAATTTTTTAACAACTTCCTTTTCTATGTACACAGGTATGCAATAGTTTAAAAAATTATCTTCCATCTTGTTTCAGAGTTTTGTCTCCATTATTTTCATAATTGAAAATATCCGTTCTGTAGTTACAACTGATACAAGAAAAGGGAGAGCAAGTTTAATCAATTGGACTAAGTTGTACATTTGTATATGAGCCAATAAAGTAATTATTTTTATTTTAGCATGAATTGGGTCTTTTATTATAATATATCAAATTGGGTCAATTTCCTATGGATCATCATATTATATGTTTAATTTTTTGAAATTGAAATAATTGGCACAAAAAAATAAATAATCTTTTTTGAAAAAAAATTAATTCAAAAGTGACTAATTCATATATATATATATATATATACTATCATACTATAAATTAAAATTTTCAAAACTTAGGGGTAATGGCCCTCAGCTCCCTTTGGCTCCATCATTGCTGCCCTCGCTCTTGCTCCTGATGTCGAATATTGCTTGTACGAAATCATGCACGAAGCTATCATTGCATGCGCCATTAGCAGAGAAATTGACAGCGGAAGATATTGATAGTGTACTCAGATTATGAAATATTGAGCCAATTTATGGCTTTGCCTCCGGGGATCCTCTGCGGTTTAGAAGAGCACTTGGGACATAGGGACTTGTTTTATGTTGATGACAAAGACGTGGATTTTAAAGATGTAATTGAAGCTCATTTACCAAAGCACCCTTGGATTGATCCGTAGTTTGTCAATGGCTCGCCATTGAAGGCGTACAACTGCTATTCTAGAAAATACTTCAGTAGATGCTTGTGAGTGCTGTAGATGGGCAAAGACTACTTTTCTTTGAAACTTCGTAAAATGCCCCGAGAGATTGTTCGTCTTACTAAAGAAAAAGATGTTTGAGGTGGCACCGCCATAAACGTCCTTAATTGGCAGGAAAATTTTAGTTCAAAGACTAATTCCAGGTAAAAAAAAAAACATTCACGGATGAAATTGACATTAGCAAAAAAGTTTAGGGACGAAATTCAGCCACGCATTTTCTGATGAAGAAATAAGCTATGACAGATTGACTCCCCGTTTTTCCCTTGGTCTTCATTTTTTTTTTTCTTTCCTTTTCTCCTTTTCTGTTCTTTTCTATTTTTCTTTCGTTTTAATGGTTGAAAAGGTTATTTTGGACGGTAAAGCCGAGCTGACCTAATAACGTTCTCTCTTGAGCGAAGTGCTTTGTGATGTATTTTTCCTGATACACACACTAGACGGGGCTTTTTTTCCCCGGAATACCTTCGATGATTAAGTTAGTTTTCTGGGAAATGAATAATATGAATAAAAATAGTAGAGTTCTTACTGTATTTCTCCCTCCTCCTTCTGAATGAGGAGGAGTGGTATTTATAGGGGACAAATTGGAGGAAGGGATAATGGGCTCCAACTCACTAGGACCTGGCAAGGACTGAACGTGTCCAATTTGATTTGACAGAACGGAGCAGTAGACAGGTCCCATCAAATGTCTTGTCCGCCATGCAAGTGTCAGACTCTCCAATTAGACCTTGGATGTCGTGTCAAATGCAAGTGTCAGATTCTCCAATTAGACCTTGGATGTCGTGTCAAACACAGCACCAATCCGAGGTACAAGTAGATGTGGGAGTCACCTCGATTATCCTTATGCGATGTCTAGTTTTTTTTTTCAACAGTCGACATTAGACTTTTGCTGAATAATAAACCTAATCCCAGAACCTATGCGATGCGATGTCTAGTTGAGGTGATCAAAACTGGTAGCGACCCGTCCCAAATAATGAAGGGTTGAGCTCGGTATGGCCGAGCCGGGATGGCCATCCTCAATGGGTGGATGATAAATTTCTTCAGATGAATTAAAGGAGACTCAAGGTGGAAGATAATGATGATTCCTGATCACAGCCATGGATGATTTTTTTTTGGAACCGAAATTGAAGGAAATGCAAAAGGAAGTTGAAATTTCTAGCTCGGATGAGGG